ATGGGAATTTTTGACCTACCGATGGAAATTTCCGACCCACCTATGGGAATTTTTGACCTACCGATGGGAATTTCCCACCCACCTATGGGAATTTTCGACCTATCTATTATGTTCTATTTTTGTTAAAATGCACTTAAGGACAAGTGTGAGGTCGTTTGAGGACAAATATAACTTTTATTTCAAAAAAGATGATCTGACCAGTCAAGTGTATGTCACATATATATATATAAGCATCACCAGGTATAACAAGAAAAAAAGAATGACAATATAGATGTCGGATATAACACCCTTCTTGGACAAGGGAAAAAAAGTTTTTGTTTACAAAACACTTTTTTTTAAAACATAATAACATAACTGTAAATGCATCAAATGAAAAAGAAAAAGAAAAAAAACAGTACGAAAAAATGTTCATATAATATCAGGAAGGAAATATAAAACATAAAGAAAAAAAAATACATTATAGAGAAAAAATCTGACAATAATAAAAAAATACAACAATAGAAAGAGAAAAAAGAATGTGTTTACTATTGTTGTTTACTCTTGTATATCATTTGATCTCCTTGATAAATATTGACCTTGACGACGAAACAAGCAATAATGATGTCTAACAAATATATCACCGAGTAATCTTCGTTCATTGTGTTGTTCAATTATTTTGTCTTTTACACCAATAAGTAATAAATCATCACCTAGTTTGACGTGAGTATAATAAATATTGTATTCAGCAAGAATATGTCGAACTAATTCATTGTAAATCTGTAGTAGAATGGACGAGTGATAAAATATCTATAACGTTGCATTCGGAAATAAAGATTTCTTTTTCGATTTGGTCGTTTTCGAGCTTCAGCTGATCGTGTTCGACTATGAAATTGACGTTTCTTGGTCAAAGATTGTTATTGTTGTTCATAATCGCTGACACTATCAACCATATCATGGTTGTTGACATGTAAATCATTATCATTTGGTGATAATGCTGGATTTGGTTCATTATCATCATCTGATATTGCTTCATATAATGATTCATTATGATTTAGTGACAATGTTTTATTTAATTCATTATTATCATTTGAAATTTCTTCATATAACATATCATTATTAATAGTAATTTTAATACATTGATTAACTGTTATTTCATCATCATCATCGGAGATTAATTCAATATCATCATTAATATTCTTAATTATTTGTTGATTAATATTTGTATTTGTTGGGTTGTTATTCGCTCGTGATGATGATGGCAATGCCTGAAATGAATCAAGAATATTAATTTTTTTTTGCCTGTTGAAATGTCCAATATAATGTAACAGGTCGAATTAAATATGTTGCTGCAAAACAATCATATATCACGTAATGTACCATTTTATTTCTTTTTGATGTTGATAAGGTTGAGTACATTGAATCTAATTCCATTACCCATTCATTAACAGTAATTGACTTGTCAATAAACATTATATATGTATAAATTAGAACGATTTCATCCAACAATTTGACGTTATACTTAGTGATGTCAATCGAAATAACAAAAATTCAAATCGTGTCTACGAGCAGATGAAATTTTCAAAATATAAAATGATTTTCGACAACTCATGAATTTGAAAACTCTTTGATACTGTCATACAGTCACATACGAGTGATTCTTTTTCCACTCTGTGATCTTTCAGGCCATCTTAGTTTGAGAAAATATTGACTTTTATATATAAGGTTTAAAAGTGCTTTTTTCTAGCATTTAGCTCAAAGTATTCTTAGTGGAGGTGTTTGACTTTTAAAGATTTATACAATTATAATGGATGCCCCATGATTAATGACCTACTCTATTTTCTATTTTCGACGGATTTGAAAAGTATTTTAAATTTTGGTTCTCATCTCGCTAAATAGAGATTTTAATTATCTACCCAGGTCGAGCAATCTGATAGTTGGATCTGATAGGTTTCGTCTCGGATCCTATCGGATTCCTACGAAATTCGGCCGGATCCTATCGGATTTACCCGGAAAACCGGTTGCGGAAATGTGACGGAATCCCTGGTATTGGCAGTCCTATCGGATCCTACTGTCGACATCCGACCGGAAGCTACCGGAAAGGAACCGATCAGAAACCACTTTCGGCAACCAACATTAACCTTAGTAACGCAATCCGATCGGTTCCCACTGTTGATAACCCATCAAATACCATATTCAAGACCATCAGAACATCTGAACACACAATAAATAATGCACGCAAATGCAAAATAACAATCTTCTATACACAAAATCATCCCAGGACGATGTTTCCGGCCTGCAGATCCGGCCGGATCCAGACTTCATGAGGACTTTTCTTGCTTATTATAAGGACAACACCTAGTCATGTTCGG